GTAGAGAAGACTACCAGACTACCAGACTACCACAGGGGAATGCAATGGGTACTGTGAGACAGTCTCATAGGTGAATTGAGGCTGATTAACCTAACTAGTCAAATTCTTCTGAAAACTTCAAAGCAGAATATATGGAGTATTGCCCTTCATCTTCACAGAAGCTTACTAGATTTCCAAAGCAAATGTTAATACTAAGGGAAAGTCATCAAAAAAAAAAAATTAACATTTTATAATAAACTATGAAGCAAAACAGACTAATCTCCACCCAGTTCCCTACTCTCTGTCCCATCCTATGCAAAAAGATGAACTTTCCCAAAACGACTCTGTTTTCAGACAAACGTTACCTGGCTAATATGAAGTGTTAATGCTGCCTCAAGGGAACCTGAGAGACAGAAAAGACACACAAGGAAGGAGAGGCCATGGAGCCTTTCTCTTTAGAAGGTGGACACTAAACCATGAGTTTCACATTGCAAAAACTTCAGACTCTCTCTAATTCAGGCCACTAGTGATACAAAGAATACTGGTGGGCATGTGAATTTAGCCATTCACTAATAACAAAGCCTAACTGCTGAATAGACTAAATGTTTCCAAAGATACTCTCATTGATTCTGGCTAGCATTTAGGAATGGGAAAGAACAATATTTTAAAGGCCAGAAAATAGTTTCCTTTCTTTACATCTTTGTTAAAAGACTACATGAAACACAGTCATAGATACACTTACCAATTCAAGAGGTGACCATAAAATTAAGAAACGTAACAACTGCTAACAGAGAATTACTGTCACTGTTTAACTCTGCACAGCTGTGTACAATACTCCCCACCTGCAATCCTGGGGTTTTTTCCACCAGTATGTGTCAGAGCCCTGCAGGATCAGAGATGCAGCCATGCCAAATTCCATTTTGAAAGAAAAGAAAGTAAAAACAGTTGGAATGTATTTGGGCTTATTCAGGGGAGTCAATGGAGTTGTGTCTGCAAAGACCGTACCCCCAGGAACTGGCCAGTGCCAAATACCTTGTTGTCACTTGAACTGAAACAGATGCACACTTTTTTGCACTGGTCATTTTCTAAACCTAGGTACTTACAAAAATTAGGCCCTTACCTTTCTGTAAAATTGCAGTTCACCTTTCAATTCTCCATGAATTATAACCAGAGAGGAAAGGAAACAAAATGGAATTTAAAGGATATTGGATAAACATTTAAAGGGAGAAACCTGCTCAAATTGCACTATTCCTTTAGTTCTGATACTTCCTTTACTTCCACTTCAAACAGTATGATAATTATATTGTATCACTACTTTGGTTTTCTTCAGTTAATCTTACAACCTCTTCTTCATCTCTCAAGCTACATTAAACTAAGGAAAACCAAACACTCTGCAGTATAAAACTTCAGATAGAAGCTAAGAATACTAAGGTTGTTGAAACTTGGCCCCTTTGTGCATATGCTATTCTGCTGTTTTAAAGTACATGCGTGCATTCTGTTTTTCCAAACAGCCTCTGCAAAATTCTGGGAAGAGGAAAGAGAGTTTGGGAATGTAAGAAAGCTATCCAATAAATAAAGCTGCTGCTCTCTTCAGAATCCCTAAATTATCTGTTGTAGAATCTGGAAGATTCATAGAAAATAAGGCAAGAGGAAGAATCACTAATCTGTAGTGCTTAACTCTGGAGTGTTACATTTCTTTTAATGTTATTAACTTTGCTCTTTTGCTGCAAAAATAGAATACCAGACCACATAGATTCTAATTCTGGGCTAAAAGAGCATTTGATTACGCATGTGAATTGTTAACCTTAAACTAGATAAATCAGTGGAAGAAAATACAAAACATATTTTGCCTGTGTATTTCAAGGTTGTTTTCTGGCCATGAAGAAAGGTAGGGATTGGAAATCCCACACTGAACTCTCAAGTTCTGGCAGAAAGCATTTTCTGCCTGGGGAGATGGTCCTCCAACAAGCTCTTTATGTTGCTTTGAACAATAGTGGTGAGAGCTTTCCTGCCCCAGTCTACTACCTGTTCTAGTATCTAATCTGGAAAAGGCCCTCCACATACCCAGTGAGAGCAAGTACTGAACAATGCTCATCTTGGAAGTAAGCACAGTCTGCCATTTTGTGGGCCTGGTACTGGTATACAGGGCAGCTGAAAAGAAGTGACAGAGGATGCAGCACCCTCATTGCAAGTTGAAATCTCTAGGCTAAATTTAGCCCTGGGCTCTGAAAAAGGTTTTATTGAAAAGCCAGGGGTTTAAGGACATCAGAACCAAAATATTCTCTTATTCTCAGAGAGTTACACTGTCAAGGCAGAATTTAGGTAAGAGCATGTGGTGGCATATGTAGAGGAATTTGACCCAGTATCAACTGTGTTGTTTCTGCACAGTCAGGAAGTAGAGAACAGAGAACAGCAATGACTATCACATACAACCTTGGCGAGCAAGAGGTGTTACCCTGGCTTCTGCACTTGGCTTCCCTGCGTGCAGAACCTCACACTGAAGGAAGCCCTTCCAGACTGCAGAGTCCCCAGCTGTCATCTAAAACCCTCAGGTCACGTCATTTCATACACTGAGCGACCAAGGACAGACAGACATCTCCAGTCCTGCACTGTGTCGAAGAACACTAACTTCACTTACAAACAACAATAATATGACATAAGCATGGTGGAAAAAACCAAAAACTGATCTGGATACATGGAATTGCAATTAGAAAAGAACCATTATTTTTCAGAGAGACTGAGTGCATGGAGAAGTAAAGTATTTTGTTTAAATTCTGTCCTTAGTTACAATGCCACCTGGACAAAAGTTTAGCTAAATTAAACAGTCTTAAGAGATTTCTATATTCTGGTGCAGTACATCCAGAATACACCAACAGCACCACTCTGTGGATTAACAGTGAATGTTCTGTAAACTCACAAATTGGCTTCCCAAGCCTCAGACCAATCACACTAAAGAAAAATACAAATACATTTTTAAATATATTCTTAAATTAGACTAAATTACTGTATCAGTGGGATAAACATGGCACCACCAGAATTTAATGAACTACCTTACCTTTACAGTAGTATAATTGAGAATATAAATTGGCTTGCTTAGTTCATGTATGTGGTATGCCTTCTAGTCGTTCACATAACTTAGCATCAGTGAGAGAGGTTGCATGTGCTGAATTCATAACAGATGCTATACACTGCACCAAAATGAGAACTTGACTCTCTGAATCACATCCTAGATTTACACTTGTAGCTCTCATTAGTGGTAGCTGCAGCAAAATCCCCGAGAGGTAGATCAAAGTACTATAATTTAAATACTTTAGCTAATCTTCAACTTAATTCCTTGAGTCTGCAAAAATGGCCTAGAAGGAGCTTTGCTTCCTGCTCTGGGAAGAAATCAGGGCTGAGGCCGGGAGAAGAAACTGCAACATGAGCAACTACAAAATTTTCCATGTAGACTGACTGTCCCCCACATTGGACACTTCAGCCTGACAGTCAGCTGCCAATTCAATATTGAGTTGAGCTGCAGATGTCAGCCAGTAATACCTGATGGAGCTCAGTGGGATATAAGAAATATTTCCTACTTTGCCATCTCCAGCTACAGTAGCTTCAAGTGGTGAGTCAACACACCAAGTGGTGGTGTGGCAGATCACTGCAGGACTGCATGCTGGCCTTCTGCAGTCCTTGTGAATCCCATGGAGCCTTTCACACATAAAAAAGGGGGTGGTTACAGCCATTACAAGGCCATGCTTTTGCACATAAATCTTACCACTTGTGCCATGCAAAACTCAAGTTCATAGAATCATAGAATATCCTGAGTTGGAAGGGACTCACAAGGATCATCGAGTCCAACTCCTGGCCCTACACAGGGCAGTCACAAGAGTCACACAATGTGCCCAAAAGCATTGTCCAAATGCTTCTTGTACTCCATCAGGCTTGGTGCTGTGACCACTTCCCTGGGGAGTTACCAGCCATGCTCTGGGTGTAGAACCTTTTTCTACTATCCAGTCTAAATCTCCTCTGACGCAGCTTCGTGCTATTCCCTTGGGTCGTGTTGCTGGTCACCAGAGCAGTTCAAGTCCTTTGAGAAACCAGGGCAAAAATAAGGGTTCTTGAGGATCTCAAAATTCCTGTTATCAAGTGCAAGGTATAGTCATATCATTTGAGGAGCAGTTACCTTCTGGGGTCCCAAAATCATAGATAAAAATGACAGGAAGGAAAAGCCATTGTACCACTAGGTTATACGTGGCATATTAATTTCTGTCTGTAAGTCTGAAGGAATTAGGAAAACAAACAAACAAAACACCCCAAACCATGTTTGAGTCTAGTTTTGGTTTGGATGAGAGCGGCCACCTCTATTTCAGCTTGTCTCTGCTCCTCCTATAGAAAAGCATCCAACACATAAGCATCTCTCCTGCTGTTATGTATTTGAAAGCTTGGGCATTATATGAGAGACAATATGCCTCTCTTTGACTGAGTGGACGCACGGAATATGAATAACTCATCAAGGTTAGTATTTTTATCAGTCAAGCAGATAATTCTGCTACCTGGTCTGTTTACTATTTTCCAAAGTGTAAATACAAGGCTCAGCTTTCAGGAAAACCTGACGGCAGCATCTGGAATAGAGCGGACTTCTTTCTTCTCCAAGATGCACTACAGTGCAAAGGCAGTGTACAGCCCCCACCACTGCCAAGGGAGCAGTTTGTGAGCACACGTCTTTTTTAGAGGTCGGGCCAAACTCGGTCACCGATTCTTAGCCGGTACTTTGTTGAAATTGTTAATAACTATTCTCTCGGCTGCGCCTTTCCCCGACACGAACGAGATTCCCCAGCTGGCTCTGCCACCCGCTGCTCCGGGTGGAGAGGGGGGGAAGGCTGCAACGGCCGCATGCCCCTGCTCTCCCCCCTTCGCGCCTCTCCGCAGGGAGGGAGGTGCTTGGCAGCTACTCAGCTCCCCCCTTCACGTCAACGCAGTCTACATCCCTGCCGGGAGGGTCCGTGGGCGCCCATGCAAGGACAACTCCCACCCACCCTCCTCGCGGCTCGCCCGTCGCCATTCTAAGGCCCCTGAGGAGCTGAGGAAAGCCGCCGCCGCGCCCTCGCCCTCACAGGGAGAGCGGAAGCGTCACCAGCTGTGATGGCCGGCTTTTTGTTCCCGCGTTGTGTCATGGTTGTTAAAATTAAAGAGTTATTTCTTGTAGTGGAGCCTCTCCTGAGTCAGTGGCTGGTCTCAAAGCAGCAGTGAGCTCCTCACGGCAGGTTGCCTGAGGAGGGCAGCACGCCCTTCCCAAGTGCTGCTGTCGTCTTTGCCGTTCTCTTCAGGTTTTGCCGTCTCTTAATATAACAGTCACCAAGAGGAAGAGCACAGGGAAGTAGCAGCTTTCTGAATTTCTCCATGTAAATGACTCTCTAGGTTATTTTCTGGGTCTCCTTTGAACTCCTGGTTCAAGATCAGAACAAGATCACTACTGTTCAGTTTCAAGACAGAAAAAAAAATGTACAAATGTAACCGGATGCTATGTACCTTTTTGTCCTTCCATGAAATGGACAACTCAAAACTGAACATATGTTTCTGCATATTTGTTGTAATACAACAATGTGTACAGTTATGTTTGGAGAGAAGCACAGTGTGGCAGAGGGCCCCCCCCAAGCTCCTGAGGTAAACGGATTTTTTTTAATGGGGCTTCCTCATATTGACAAGCAATTTTTCATTAACTTGGCCAACTCTAGCAGTGGCTAGCTGTTCTTTGGTATCTAAGGAAGGAGGGCTAATAAGTCTGTGAAACTCGTCCAAGATTTTTCTTTCCTGGGGAGTTTTAGGCTTTGTACGTATATATATGTACGCATATCTGAGTTACAAACTTAATGAATTATGACTCCTGAACTTAACATTGCTAGTAAAGTTTGACATCTCTTAGCCATTAGCAAAGCACCTCTTGTGCTTAACAAATACCTGGAAATACAATTTCCTTTTAACACACAACTTACAATGCCTGGGCTAGAAATGTCGAGCAGGCTGTATAAAGATCAGTTTCAGTGAATGACTCAATCAAGTCATCTTGAAAACTCATCCGTAATTTCCTACTCATAACCCTCTTCTGTTATCTTGCCTTAGTGTTCAAGTTCCTCCTTTGCTTTCAGTATCATAACCCCAAGTGTATTCTATGCAACTTTCCACACCACTATTTCTTTACAGCTGCTAATTAAAGATCCTTCTGAATAAAGCCCTCTGCTTGAACAGTTGGAGTGCCCCTCTGAAAGGCCCCTTTTGTGGGAGACCATCTTATGGATCACAACAAAGACAAGGCACTGCAGAAAAGAAACTCTTTTACTTCGTAGCCACTTCTCTGGCTCAAATTAATTAGCACTGCTCTGTTTTCAAGTGCAGTAACACTCTGGAGAGGTGAATGGAACCTTTCAGGAAGTAAACTACAGCACACCCTCCCACCAGCCTTGAGCAACAAAGCAGACTATAAAGGGTGGTCATAAGAGGTGATAGCTGATTAGGAGTGAGGTGGAACTCAGGTGACTGGGACTGTAATTCACACACACCACACACACCCTAACCTCCTAAAGTATTAGCATTTCTATTACACCCAATTAAAAAAGAGGCCCAGAGTGATCCTCACGTTGGCAATTTGTAAATAAAATACAATTACATTTATTTTGCCTGAAAAAATCCCACATTCTAATCCATGTGTTTTCTTGACTTGGTAATCACTTCCTGATGACTATTTCTTGTCCTGCCTGTGCTTAAAATTTACCCTGTATCCCTGGACACCTTAGCATGTGAATATATGTATCACTAGTGAAGAGGCTACATTCATCTGAGTCCATATGCTCGTGTCCATATTAGAGCTGCTGAATTTTCTCCATTAATTAAATGCTCTTGAAAACAGTGCTACAGCAGTGTACAGTCAGAACCTATACTGAAAGACTGCCAAAATCCAAGGGCTACATCCATAGGGTTGTACGGGTCAATACTTTATGCTTGTGGGATGAGCGTCATAGAGACAAGTTGCCCTGAAGATACCCCAGCTTCTCTGACGAGCATTCACCCAAGAAGCAGCTCTTTTGGAACCCTCCTGAGAACAATTCTCTTCTTTCTGTTGCCATCATTCTTCATGTCTTGCTCACAGAAGCTTACATGGGTATAGCACAGTGAGTACTGCAGCTTTCATTCATACCAAAGGCAGTCATCTCTGTATTCTCTTTGAGTAAATCTCCAGAGATGCATAAATTCACCATAATTTGCATTTGCTCGTGAACAGCATCCCTGTAGGGTTATTGAAATTGCATGTTGTATTATTTGAATAGTTTTAGCTTAGCTGAAGGCCACAAAACCTGAAAGGTGGTTTGTTATTGTTTCTTGGCCTTCCTGCCTTGTGTCAAATTTTGCTGTTAAATATATGAATGTAAAACAACTATTGGCTACAAGTGAATTATACTTCTCATACTCAGATCTAACAAAGAAGAGGAATTGACCTATGCATTTTGTTCTCATGTCCTCCATGTATATGTAACCTTTTGGACAGGAAAATTCATGCATGTGGATTATAAACTCCTCTGAGGCTTTGTTTTTATTTTCAGTGTGAGTACCTGTACTGCAGTGATTTGATTTGAGCATATGACTCCAGGATATTATTTCATATCATTCAAGTCAATGGGGATCCTGGAGAAAATTCAATTGCAATAGAACCAGTCTTTGAAGAATGTCACTCTCTGTGTAAGGTGACAGAAAACAGGTATGATTTATGGTCGAAGGTAACCAGTGCAGCTGATCAGTCGGCATAGTGAATGCTCACTCTGTCCCCACTGATGGCAAACAACCTCACTAGCAGAAACCAACCTGGATCTTTTTTTTCCCTCAGAAAATTAACAGGAAAATAATAAGCCTGCTGTCAGACAATCTATGAAGCATAAGAATAGTGAAGCGTATCATATTAATTATTCAATATAAACTGTTCACCCTGCTCTTCCAGGAGGCACTGTCTTCTCCTACTCCTACTCTTTTTTGTTCAGCCTGCGTCTGCCTAAAGTTCTGACTGGACAATGTTGCAACTCACCCCAGTGAAACATTTTCCAGCCACCTCTGTTTGTTGCATTCATGATTTAGTATTCAGCGTACTCAGTTCTGCTTTTTTTTTTTTTTTTGTGCTTGTCTAGTGTCTATGAAGGCAAGATGCTGAGAAATGTGGAAAATAGAGGAGCACAACTGCGGGGAGTGGAGAGCGGTGTGGAGCACGTTCAGCTGTGGCAAGATGCAGCTGGCAAAGAGTCATGGAGCCTGATCAAGCAGTCCATTCAACCCGTACATGTGTCCCAAGAACTTCAGGGGGATAGCCTTTGTGATTTTTTTTTTCACATAATTAAGATTGTATTGGGTTCTTAAACCTCTGTATAATCCAATAAAGAAAAAAATTAAAAGTTCATTAAATCCCCTGCATTAAAAGAAATCCTGCAACCTAGCTGTTTACCTCAAAAAACTCTTTGTAGTGCCTGATGCTCATGTTTTGTAAGTGTTCCCTGAAGACCATTATTCGTCAGCACAGAGTTCAGCACAGTCAAATGAGAGACTCACGGTTTGGAACTGTATTTCTGAAAAATCTTGCATGTCCATTTCTTCCCTTGGCCAATTAATATAACTGACCCAGACATCTCTCTGTTGCTGCCTGTTCTTGCCTCCTTACCCTTATCATGCATAATGTGAAACAGTATACGAGCTGACAACAAATCTAGATGTTTATGTCTTCAGTAGCATTATTTAAATGAGCTTCTCTGACCAAGAGACTTCTGTTTGTCTTCCAGGGACAGATATTTCCATGCTCTTACTGCACTTCATGCTGCAATTTCATGGTTCTATTTCTAAAAATAATTTGCTTTAATTTCTCTCTGTGAAGCCAGTCTAAGGCCTCAGTCGTAAGTTTGTGTGTTGCAAGAGAAACTCTGCCTTGATTTGATTGTTACTTGCACCAGGAGAGAGATACCAGTGTACACCACAACTGTGAAAGTGACAGATCACTGTGTATTTAACAAAGACCCATCTGCAAGTTGCTAGTTGCACCAGATGTGTTTAAAATTATTAGAAATAGGTTTGTTTGTTTTGTTGGGGGTTTTTATCTCAGAGATTCTAAATCTTTGAATAAAACAAAAGTGGGTGTATTGATTTCTCAAGTATTACCACACTTTCACAAATGGATTTCTCCAACTATTTCCCTGTTTCCAAGCAACCTTGCTGAGGAGAAAGACAAATTGAACATTGTGCTAACAGATTGACATAAAACTTTGACAGCTATTTTTAATGAATGTGAATCTAAATTACTGCACCAACCAGCTTCATTCAAAATCTGTGATCTCAGCTAATATAATACCTCTAGTTTATTTCTTTTCACTTTTGCCCAAGACACACAATCCACAGAAATCAATCCAGATCTATAATTATTGGCAGGGTGATATGGGCAGCCATGGTACTTACGCCTCTGACAGCTCCTTTCACAAATTGAGGATAATCTGAACTGAAAAGACAAATTGATTATGCAAGTGAAGATAGACAAATGAAGGCAAGAGTGGATTCAATCTGCAGAGAACAGAAACATTGAAATTTAGTTCCTCTTCTCTTTTGTAGACACTTGTGAGCTCAGTATCTACAGAAGTGTGATCAGTCATAGATAGAGATAGGGGAACAGCAGTAAGTGTCGAGATCAAACAAAAGTCCTGCTTCCCTCAACACAGGAGAACAAGTCTCAGTAGATGGTTCACTACATCCACATAATTTTGTTCCCTGGGGAGCCCACTTACTCTTTCCTGCTTCTTGAACCAAACTGTTTCCTTCTGCCTGCTGGCATCTTCCCTACAGTTTTTTGCTGTACACATAAAACTTGCCAAATAATCCTGTAAGGCCTTTATAATGAGAAAGCCCTTCTGTCTGTTGTTGCCTTAGATGGTGGTCCTGTTGTTTCAGCTCTGACCTTGTCACTGTGTAAAGTCCAGTAATTGTTCTTTGTGCTGAAGTGGAAATATGAATGCTTAACGTATGTTGTAACTACATCTGTGATTATGAGCTGACATAGGTCCTCGTTAACACTGGCCAGAAGGATGCTTTCACTTGAGACCCAACGGGCAATTGTTTGTTGTTATCTGAGTGCGACCC